CCCCCCCCCACCCAGAGAAAAAAACACCACTGGAAGTCCTAGCCGTTTCCCACTAGTCCAGCCACACCGGGCGTAAAGTGCTAAGCCATTCCCGAGAAGAAAACTACCTCAAGAGGACTCCCTTCGGACGCGAGTGCTGCTTCGGGGGACACAGGCAGATAAACGCGGCTCGGCTTGGGGCGAGTTACGACTGAAACGCGCGGCCCGCACCGACACCCCGCGGGCAGCTTCAGTTTGCTTCCCCACCCCACCCCACGGCGGAGCTCTGAAGAGAAAGCCTTTCTCACCTCAGCGCCATGCTGCTGCTCTCTGCCGCGGCTTTTCTCCAACTCTACAGAGACTACCAGCAACGGCGCCCGCTGAGCTCGGTCCTGTCCCCTCCCCCGCCCAGTTTCCGAGCACTGCGGCCTACGCGGGCGGAGTCCTCAGAAAGAAACCCACAACTTCTCGGAACGCCGACCTTCCTCCTTGTCAATCTGGCAACGAAATGCAGAGTGAAGGGGGGAGGGCGCTTGGGAGCAGAATTTATTGTGCATCTGGCAACAGTTGGGCTGAATCTTTCTGCCAGTTGTTGCAGGCCAGTTCTGCACTGTCACTTTTTTTTTACAGCTTCAGGGTTCCCCCCCCCCCAATGTGTTTTGCTCTCTCCAGTAGTCCCAGAGGGAGTAAAACACATGTGGGAAAGGGGGGAGGGGGAACCAAAGCAATAGGAAAAAACGAGTGACAAAAGTGACACTGGGGACTGTTGAATCTTTACATAAGAACATAAGAGATGCCAGTGTTGGATCAGGCCAATGGCCCATCCAGTCCAACACTCTGTGTCACACAGTGCCCAAAAAATACCAGGTGCCATCAGGAGGTCCACCAGTGGGGCCAGGACATTAGAAGCCTTCTCACTGTTGACCCCCCCCCCCCAAGCACCAAGATGACAGAGCATCACTTGCCCCAGAGCCCCTATCTACACCTTGTGGCTAATAGCCACTGAGGGACCTCTGCTCCATATGCTTATCTAATTCCCTTTTGAAGCCGTCCATGCTTGTAGCCGCCGCCACCTCCTGTGGCAGTGAATTCCATGTGTTAATCACTCTTTGGGTGAAGAAGGACTTCCTTTTATCCGTTCTAACCTGACCGCTCAGCAATTTCATGGAGTGCCCACGAGTTCTTGTATTGTGAGAAAGGGCGAAAAGTACCTCTTTCTCTACCTGCTCTATCCCATGCATAATCTTATAAACCTCAATCATGTCACCCCTCAGTCATTGTTTCTTCAAGCTAAAGAGCCCTAAGCAACAGATACTGTATGTAGCAAATCAAATTAACAGAACAAACTTTGAGTCCAATGGCACCTTTAAGACCAACAGGGCTACCTACCCACCTAAATCAAATCAAGTACACATTCTTCCAGGTATATCCTCACCATTCTGCCCTTTGTTCCCTCCTTTATGGTGAATATTAGATTGTAGGATACGTAGGGCTGGGATGAGTCATGCAGATTCTGTGGTAGAAAGTTGTCTGATGGTTGCTGCTGGGACCAGCCTTGACAAGTCCTCCCTCAGGGTCTTTTCTGAGGCTGTTTTGGCAATCACCAGGCAACTTGCTACCATCCAATTTGCATGACTCACCCCAGACCAAGGTTCAAATCATCAGTTTGCTAGGGAAGCTCCCTAGGTAACTTTGGGCCAGTCACATACTCTCAGCCTAACCTAGTAGTTACCCCATGAAAGCCAGTGCGGTGTAGGAATTACAGCTTCAGACTAGGATCTGGGAGTCCTCCCTCAGTGTCAAAACAGCCTCACTTCAGTACTGGATACTGTGGAAGTATTACAATAGTGATCCCCGGAGGGATATTTTTTATTATTTTATAAGACTTCAAAACTACAAAGAAAATATAAGGGAAGGGGATTACATCTAAGGATAAGGGACAGATAACCACACTACACTGAAAACCCAAGACGAGGAGATTATATCCGTCTTAATCTAAGTGTTATCAATAAAAGTGTTAGTACAACAATATACTTGTAGAGTTCTTGTTTGTCTCGGCTTCAATGTTAGTATGTTAGTTGTTGTGAGAGAACTTTCTGAGCATCTTCTTGTTATTTGCTTCAAAAGGCAATTTTCAGAGTCCTTCTGCCTTTACTTCGGTTTTCTGTCTCTGAAATCATATGTAACTTTCGTTGCGCCTGCACCCGTTTCTACAGCAGAGTCCTCATCCGTTCCAGAGGTAGCGGAGTCACTTGATTTCGATTCTTCATCTTTGGATTCTGTGTCCAATCCCAACTGGTGTCTCAAAAATTCTTTGGCTTTAAAAATGGAGTCAATCTTTTCTCTTTTGTTGTTGATTTTAAAGATGACACCCTCTGGGATCGCCCACCTGTATGAAATTCCATTGGTTTGAAGAAAAGAAATTAAGTCCTTATAGCTTTTCCTCTTTTGGTGAATTTCAAATGGAATATCTTTTAAAGTTTTAATGTTTATATTCCCCATTTTCTGTGGAGTTGCTGAGGTCGCTTTTAAAATAGCATCTCTGGTCTGTCTTCTTGAGAATCTATCAATTTACAAAAAATTGCTGCAATAGTTCAAACATTCACAGAATGAGGACAATAATGTATTGGCATTTCCATGTTGTTTTAATCCAGAATTTCTTTTTTCAGCAGGTCAGGACATCAAGTCACTGAAGTGCTTACGAACTTCCTCGAGTTTCAATGTTCGTTTCGAGGCAATCTTTATCAAAATTCTGTTTTGTTGTAATTCTTTCACAAAGTAATCCAATATTTACGAAGTTGACACATTCCGAATGGCTAAGAATAGCTCCCAAGTTACAAATAGTTCCTTTTAGCGGACAACGTCTTGAGAATCTGACCACAATTTCTCCAGGCAGGCTATTTTTTAAAATATAATTGGAGTATGCCCTATAAGCAGTTTCCATCTCTTTTACTACTTCATCCCCTGTTGAGCCTATTGCTGGAGCAATGATCTCGCTGAGCAACTTCCTCAGATCCTCTTTCGCCGATTCAGGAACTCCCTGGAATCTGAGAATCATGTTGGCTTTTTCCATTTGTAGCTGTAACAAATGGCTTTCTTGGAAGTTTTGTTTTGCTTCAACTTCCCCCATTCTTTTCTTCATTTTCTTGTTTGTGGTGTCTATCTCTTTAATTCTCTCAGTCGTATGCTCCACTTTCTTCGCCGTTTCTGCCAGCTGGAGCTGCTGGGATGCAAAGTTTTGATTCAGTGAAGTCAGTTGCTGGTTAATACCATTGAGTTGCTCCATCACCGGCTTGAGCATATCTGCTAACGTTTTCGTGATGTCTGCTTTCTCTTCCAGTTTTGGGCTCTGACTACCCACTGGTTTCGCTTTAAACTTTCTTTGCGAGGCCGCCATTTTATATGATTGTTTACCATTCCAAACCGCTTCTCACGGACTCAAAAAAAGTCACCTCGATGTCAGCGCTCAAGTAAGTCTCTCAAAACAAAATCGCTGCTTGTTTTCCCCCCCTGCCCCCTTCATGACACTTATCTGTCTGTTCGCATAAGAGGCATCTCTCTTTGTGCTCCACTTTTCCCATGGGGGGGGTAGTTCGCTTTTAAAATATTCCGCTTATTTTGAACTCATGTTCATTGTCGGTCATTTCTCTGACCTCGCTCACAGTAATCGATATTCCGCGCGATCTCCAGCGCTTGTCCCACTCGAATCAGCTTGTGCCCGAGGGCCACACAGCAGCAGGACCATCAGGGCGGAGGAAAACCTCAATTCTCCGGCATTTAGCTGTCGAAGAGGCTGCCCCTCAAAAGCCCTATGGCCTGGAGCCTATCACAAAGGCTCTGCGTGAGTGCTACTTGAGGTAGCACCCCTCCATACCGCTGGTGTGCGAGTCGATCCCCCGAGGTCCGGGGAGAATGACCGCCATCGCTGATTCACAAACTGGTTTTTACAATAGTGATATTGAATGATCTGAGGATTCAATACAGTGGGAGAAGATGCTGGCCAAATATTCACAGCAACACTTCCTAAGTTTTGAAACACCTGTCCATACCATTTTGATTTTTGTGTTCCTAGGAAGTATTTTAAAAAAACATTTCATTTTAACATTATGAAAGAATTTCCCATGGGTAGATCTCCTTCTCTAATCAAACATAACGAGGATTGCGGAACAAGTAGATTGTCCCCAAGTTTGTGGTTTCGGGTTTCTTCTTTCTGTTTCTTTTTCACACACACACAAAAAATGAAAAAAGAGAGAATGTGCTTCTGTTCCTTTTTATCCCAAAATCATATACATAAAATAATCATATACAATATATAATAAAATCATATACATAAAATAATAAAATAAATTTAATAAACAGACGGAAAGGGGAAGGCAAGTAAGTGTACTGCAAGAACTGATATTAAATTGATATTGAAACAAACTTGCAAAATTAAGAGTAGAAAATGTATATTTCAGTAATTCTCATTCCCTGTGCTGTGAGAAATAAAACTACGGTAATATAGAAAGTACAGTTACACACTCAGAGAGAGGAAGGAAGTTGTCTGCTACTTCCTTCTGCACAGATTGCTGCCGCTCAGCCTCGTAACGATCTCCCCCCCTTCCATACACACAGTATCTGTTGCTGGTTTTTGCTCTTCCAATGTTTTTCTGAATTTTTCCAGGGTTTTTTTTTTCCAGAGCACCTTTGTACTGATGTTTACAGAAGAAATAATGCACGTGAAGCAGGTTTTGTGGACTTTGTAATGTTTGCTGCACGGTTCTGCCCACATAAAACATTTCCCCACCCCTTTTCCTAACCACTTACTTTTTTTTTCTGAACTGCCACTTATTTCCCAAGCAGCATTTGCATTTTTTTAAAGTGTTGCACTAATGTTGATTTATTTCTATAGTAAATGGCCAAACATGGGATTGGGGGGGGGGGGGCTTTTTTTTGTTAATTTCAGTACAGTCAGTACCTGCAGCCCTAAGAACATAAGAATATAAGCAGAGCCTGCTTGATCAGACCAGCTGCGGTCCATCTAGTCCAGCCTTCTGTTTCACAGAGCGGCCAACCATTATCTGCTTTAGTCACCTCCCTTATTTCCTCCTCCATCTCAAGGGTTTGATCAGGTGGGCAATAGTACACTCACACCATTAAGTAACCCTTAGGGCCCAATATTTTTACCCATATCACTTCTTTGGGGGAGTTAATTCCCCTGATGCTTTCTAACTTATTTGATTCTATGCCCTCTTTGATGTACAATGTGACACCTCTCCCAACCCATCCCTCGCTGTCCTGCCCATAGAGCTTATACCCAGGAATGACTGTATCCCATAGATTTTCCCCATTGCACCATGTTTCTGGGATACCTACTATACCTAAATTGTCATTGGATGCCAAGCACTCCAACTCCCCCATCTTGGTTTGGAGACTTCTAGCATTGGCATATAGAC